CCATCACATTGGGTTTAACGCTGTAGCATTTTACCTTGTATCATTTTGCATTGTGGTACACTTTGGTATAGTAATTTGTGTGTGTTGGTGTTATGTACTCAGGTGAATATGATGTTTGTGATGTTACTCCGAGTGTGCATCCACACCGGGCAAGCTGAAAAGTTAGCTTGGCCAAGGTGGGAATTGAACCTGTGACCTTTGGGATATGAGCTATGCGGTCAAGTTGGTTTGAGTTGATGATATTTCGGAACTGAGTCTAGTTCCTTCAATATCAGTGTATTCTTTGATCTGATTATTTTGTGCGTGTTGGTGTTATGTACTGAGGTGAATATGATATAGTGTTTATATAGAATTCACTTTGTAGCATTTTGTAGTGTGCTACAGAAACACCATCCACTTTAACCTTTAAACAATGTGTTTTACATTGTAGTGTTTTGTAGCATTTTTTATATAGAATTCACTTTGTAGTGTTTTGTAGTGTGTTACAGAAATGCAACGGCAGTATCTGAATCCTAAATCCTGCCTCAGATGTATTGTTTTTTTATATGTTTCTTATGCATGTTGGTTTTCGTTCCTGTAATATAGAGCAAGTGGGAAATGTGTGGGAGCAAAATGAGCCACACAATTGCATGGAATACATGCGTTTACAAAAGGCGCAATTGTGTAATTATTGCCAAATGTTTGGCACAAAATAAATTACTGTTTTATGTTGAAAATGGACAAGATGTAAATTAATCATATACAGAATTTTTTAGTGATGTTCTATTTCAGTACCCTTCCATTGTCTGTGGTGTGCTGTCCGTCTACATTCGATTTGAAACAGTTGCTACTTTGCTGTCGAAACATTTCAAATGTTTACATGAAAATAGAGGAAAGTCATGCATTTTATAAGCTTGGAAATTGTATGAGCCCCTATATTTACACTTATACCTAAGATATCAAGTAAATATACATGAGACAGGGAACATTTTAGAAAGTTTTATTGTGAGGCCACGGCCAGTTTTTAAAATATCTTCATTTCTTTTCTGTGCATTGCCAACATTACACTGAAGCTGGGCTTGAACATACAAAATGTTTTGAATCTCATCAAGTACAAACATATTTAACGTGTAACCAAAATATGTTCATGAAAGCAGATCGAAATGAAACTTGTGGTGTGGTTGCGGAACATGGTGCGCTGAATTATGCCTGATAGATAGTCGGTACCCCGAAAACATAACATAATTTATACATAAAGACCCCAGAACCCCAAAATACTGTCCCCCCCCCCTGAGACCAATTTACAGTAGCATCATTGATGTTTAGTTTAGTGAATTTTTTGTCCCCACAACACACTATCCTGCCTTTGCCTCCCACCACCACCACCCACCACCCACCACCACCACCACCTAAAAGTATAGTCCTGCTTGGTGTGATCTCTCACAACACACAGAAGTCAATCAACCCCCCCATCCACCCCTGTATAAAACAAGATTTCTGGTAAAAAACTACAGTATATATTCACTCTTCCTGCAGGTCGATAATAATCAATCAAACCACACCAAAGTCACAAATCAAACCAAAGTTGGGCATGATAAAGCAGCTAGAAGAGGGCCTCTGTCTGTCTGCAAACTATTAGATGCCATTTGTGCAAGACCAGCCCTATTCAGATCTGTTTTTGTGTCTGGTTGCATCTTTGATCAGGATGCAGACAAATTCTTGGATGGGTTGAAGGTCACCTTTAGTGAGTACCAGAAGGAACGGATTGTTGAAACAACAGTTTACAAACATTTTTGCGATTTTGTACTGTTTCTTCATAATGATGGTTAGTACTTGGTGGTTCTCATGCATGGTTCCATGCAACAAACAGGGTTTAAATTAGTTGATTATAGTTGAACAATATTTGCAAAAATGTGGCGATTTATATTGCTTCAATTGATGCTCACCAATAACTTGACTCATATTTTGCACATTGATTGGAAATATCACATATAATCTTCACTATCTGGGCCAAAACGAAGTGCAAATTTCACATTGGACACTGTTAATTCAAACTCTGGCACAAATTACATTGCAGGTTGTAGCAAAAATGCCTTGTGATTTTCTCATTATTTGAAATTTTGTATCATGAAACTGGAAATATTTTTCAGCTTTTTAATTTCAAATTCCATTTAAAAGTTGTATTTCTGGCATGATAGACATACAGAAACACAAATGTCTTTTGGATTGTCAATGCTGGCATGAATGATTTGCTCAAAATGTTTCATAGGTTTATGATATCACATTTCTACTGTACATCAAGCTATATATACTGTTCTTTCAGGGATAGAAGGGCATTATTTGAAGTTGCGGCATCTTTTACATTTCGTAACTGGATGCTATTCATTGCCTCCACTTGGTCTTCCTATTTCTATAAAGATCAAATTCCTGCATGGTTGTCATAATGGCTGCAAGTGTCGTCCAACAGTGTCAACATGCCAATTGTTCATCAGGCTTCCAGTTCATGCAGCTACATTTCAGAAAATGAAAGAGTTGATGGTATCTGCCTTGCCGGAAGGTTTTGGGTTTGGCACCTGTAAATTGCTATATTAACACATTGCTTGTTTATATGAATGGAAAAGCAAAAACAAACCATATGTATTTTCTACATTATTGCTATAATAACTATTTACAATATATATATACTGTTTGAGTGACAGTAAAGACTTGGAATTTGTGTTATCCACATAGTATTAAATGTATTTGGGAAATTAGATGTGTAATTTACAAATTACCTATTGAGGTTATTAACAAAATGTTCAACTAATTAAAGATGCTGTAAAGTCTATTCTGTGCAGGCCTACGTTCCAATGGTTGGGACCCGATCATTGGAATAACTTCTTGAAAAATTAGACAAACGTTCTCTGGCCATGGCACAGCATCATAGGACAAAGATAAACTGCAAACGAATTCCTCACATCTAATAACTACTAACTCAGCAACAGCAGCATCATTAGTAAATGAATTATGTATCAGTTCTTCATAAAGGTTAAAACCATGTCTTAAATATTCGCTAACATCTTCTCTTGCAGCTAGTTCTTCACGTTCTGCCATGTTTCTATGATTTTTGGCGCGACATTTACTTCCATTTCCGTATATCGCTCTTTCTCCACCACAAATGTCGCTTTATATATTGCAATTTCGGTTTACAAACATAGACTTGAAATTACATATTTGAAATATACATTATATAAATGGACATAAAGTAATATTGTCCATCTTGGCACGCCATACATCCCCCTGGTTCTGAACTGCAAGCTATGTTAAATCATCTTTTGAACAGTTGTCGAACATTGAATTGACACTTCCCAATGCATTCTCATTGTTGCTGGTGATTTCAATTGGCTAGATGTTAGCACTTTAAAATGCCACTTTAAACTAAAACAGCCACTTAAATCTGCTACTAGAGGCCAAGCAACATTAGATCTAGTCTTTATAAACATGACTGAACATTTCTCGGTGCCTGAAATGATCTGACCATAACACAGTTTTGATGAAACCTAAGGGAAGGGTAGCAGGTCAATTCACTAGGAAGTGCATTACAGTTCGAGATATGAGAGAGAGTACAAAAGTCCCTTGGTCATTATCTTGCCAACATGAATTGGTCTTCTGTCAGTGCCCATCACAAAAAGGATCATCCGAGTATTTAACTTTTGCCAAACCAGTATAAAGATTTCTTGGTTGAGGCAGTCAATCAAATACAAGATCGATTTGGTGATTGCCAAAAATTGGATTTCCTTTCTTTTCTATCACTCTCTTTTGCATACAATTTGAAGAACCCTTCTATGGGTGGTTTGTGTCAAAAAATGCCTCTCCTTATAGAAGTTACAAGGAGTGGAGAGATCAGTCACTTAGTCTTAATCTCACTGATTGGAAAGTGGTATTTCAGGAAAAACAACGGGTATGTGAACCTGCTTTTCCCAATCTGATTAAACATGTAAAAACTCCATTATCCATGCCATACTCCAATGCTGATGGCGAAATGGTGTTTATAAATCATCAGTTAAAATTGATTAAAACAGATCACAGAGCATATCTTTAAAATGAGAAAGCCTCCTTGCATTGTTAACAACTAAGATGACTCTTGTGATGTTACTCTGAGTATGCATCCACACCGGGCAAGGTGAAAAGTTTGCTTTGCCATGGTGGGAATTGAACCTGTGGTACTGGACTAGTATCCCAAAGGTTGCGGGTTCGATTCCCACTGTGGCCAAGCAAACTTTTCAGCTTGCCTGGTGTGGATGCATTGTCGAAAACTGTCATATAATTATATATTATGTTATGTTTACGCGTGGGACGCGCGAGTCCGAACTGAACCCTCTCGGAAAGTTCCGGAATATAGATAGATAAATAGATAGATTTATTTAACCATGCTAACCTCGTCAACTACAGCTGATTTCCACGAGGGGCGTGTGAACAAGAAGTATACAGCAAATATGAAAAGTATTTAAAAGCTATTTACAAAGTAGAAAACATAGTATAAAATATATTAAGTATATGAGATAATAATGTATTTACAGATGCATATCTTTGCTTTAATTATCAATGTGAATATAATAGAATTCCAAAGGAATGATCCATCGTACATAAAACTTTTGTTCAAATTATTATTCCGCGGTTGCGGTAAACAAAGAGTACTTGAAACGTTTCGAAGATTATAGCTAGTCATCTCACTTTTATAAGTGAATAAGTTA